TTCTAACTAACATGGATACCTTTTTCTCGGCTTATATATATGTCATTACCACTGCATATGCGTCTATATTACAAACCTTGTTTATTCTAGAAGCAGCAACAAATTCGCCTTTTAGCCAGCCAGATGAAAACGCCTTCTTAGAAATTTGCCGTGACATAAACCGGAACCCGGATGGACCGTCAATTGCTCTGTCATCTTTGATTAATCAGTTGGAGAAGTCTGCAGCAACTTACTCAAACACTGCAAAATTCGCACTGAATTTAATGGATGTTTGCATGAATAACTGTGGTTATCCATTTATAAGTGAACTTTGCAAAGGCGATCACTTAGAAAGATTGGGAAAAATCATCACTCGTGGAAACTGTGCTGATGCAATCCGAACAGGAATTCTTACACGTATTCAGGCAGGCGAGGCATTTCAATTTCATTAATCCTTTTAGAGCTGGCAGTTGGCCTTTTTAGGTCATTCAGATTTGAAATCAGTCGACGATCTGCACCGCAATCTTCTTGACAGTGGGGTGCAATTCCCTGATGCAGACCAAAATCGTGTGGATGCATTTAAGCGCACGGCAAGTTACTTCCTCCCGTGTACTTGTTTTTATTATGCGTAGAGTGTTTTCTGGGAGTAAGATCTATTATACTTATTTGTAAGGGCTTTAAAAACTGTCTATGAAGGCCCTGTTTTTCCAAACTAAGTCAAAAAATAAATCGCAGTCTAGCGAGGTTAGGTCTAAAGACTTTTGTTGATTGTCCTCTCTAAAAACGTAGTGTTTTGCCTTTCGGTCTAGCTTCCAAATCGTGGAGCTGGCAAGGCTCCGGCATTGGTCCAGAAACCTGCTGCTTCGGATGTCGTGAACACGCAGCTCATGCAGGCCATTCGCCACGATCTGGACCAAGTAGCCCTTGATCTTCCCGTTTTTGGGGCTATGGTTCAGGGTTTGGCCTGCACTCCGCCAGATGATGCCACGCTGAGGCAGTTGCATGTAAGTATCGGAAAGACATGTAATTGGCAAATGTTTATATAGAATCGCATGAAAACGGCCATTTCTACCGTCTTCAAGTCATCAGCTATATGGTGGAATTTTACATATTTGAGATCACATTAATAAGAGCGGTCACTGTTATTATCAAGTAATTACCACAGAGCCAAGTAAAACGTAAGGACTTAGGAGAAAGAAACAGAAATGATCACAAGATCAGTCACGTTATGGAGTATCTGCCACCTATCAAACTTTTTCAGGTGTTGCATGCAATGCTAGTTTTTGTAAGGACTGTATT